ATTTTTCTTGTCCTCTGTTTCTTTCTCCACCATCACCTCCAAATCTACTCGCCCCTCTTCACCTTCCCTAATCCTCAACACGCTCACTACACTACCAAGCTGACATCCCAGGTTTTTTGCAGCTGGTGGAAAATAAAAAGAAATGCATGACAGTAGATAAGAAACAGATGACTGCACTGGCATCAGAGTACCCTTATGCATTTAATCTATGGCAAACCATGGAAGACTTTTCTAATAAACTCAACAAATATAATATCTAATGCCTTTTGACCTCTTGTACAGTGATGAAAGTCTGCCTACCATCTCATACGAAAAGAATCAAACACGAAAACAGCATCTGAATGCTATGAATAAAAACTGGCTTGAATTAAAAGAGGCTTGTGATTTTTCAGTCCTTCATAAGAACAGAGAAATCCAATGTATCCTCAATGCCCATGCTTCAGGGAAAGAGGAACAAGAAGACTGAGTAACTGTATAAGATGAAGGTTAATCTGCTCTGTTTTTCCCATAAAAAGAACAAAAAAATGATGATCCCTCTGCCGGCTTAGCAAACGCTGGAGCTGCTTGGTGGTATAAGTGGGGGAGGATGAATGGATGACAAAAGAAAAGACAATTTGATGGTCAAACCCTGAGAGTGATGCGTCACAGTGCGCTGCCGCCCTGTGATCTTACAGAGATGTTAATGGATCCTGAAAGTGTGCATACACTGATCTATAACCTGAGACACTGCAGAGCCTGACAGGCACTCAGGAGATTTATTTTCCGATTGGTAACACAGAGTCCATTCATGTAAAACGAATGTAGTGTGACTGACGGCGTGATGACCTAATAATGTTTTGCCCACTTATTAAATAAACCTAATGAATTGTGACAAACTAAAAAGAATTTGTTGAAATTGAGTTATTCATGAAGAGGCCATAACATTTAGTTATCACAAACTGTATTTGATTAATCTTCTAAAAGCTTTTACTTTAAAACATTTCATATCAAAGTAGTTTGGGTATGAAGAATATGTAAACTTTTGCAACATTTCATTTTTTGGGGGGCTTTTTTGTACATGCACATGCTCTAACCTCAACCCAAACCACGTGTCTTTGGGTGTCCAACCTTAAACTCATGTTTCTAGGATATTTTGTAGAATTAGAATATCTCTGACTGCCACCGGTAGCATCACTGTGTGTAAGCAACTGTGGTAGAAATCAATACACACAGCTTCCACCCAACAGTCAACTTTCTGATTATGTGGTCACTCAGGCACAGCAAAACAAGCTGAAAAGCCAATATTGACATAATATGAAAGACGAACTCCTGGGGCCAGTTTCTTAAAGCTGGTTGAACAAACTCTGGCTCTCACCCTGTACTATGAGTTCATTGACCCCAAGGTGCCCAGCTCCAAGTTTTTGGTTTGTTTTGTAGTTCAATATTTTTGGTAGAGTTAGTTCAATAAAATGCTCACTCTGGGTTAAATGTGTGTGTGTGGCTTAAAAAAAAAAAAAAAACTGTCAATGGAGCTTAGATACTATGATTCACCTCCAAAACAGATAAATAATGTGTGGCCTGTGTGGAGTCTGATATTTTTTCTCAAACAGGACTGGAGGAAGGAGACAATAAGTTAACATGGTTCCGTTTTCATTCAGTGTAGTCTACTCATTCATCATTTACCCAACTTGAATTTTGCTAAATGGTTGATATGGCGGGAATTCAGCTGGAATCATGCTATATATCACAATTGATTTTGAAATATATTTACTCAGCTGTAACCTGAAATGCATGTTACAGCAACTAGAAATATGGATCATGACTGATAAAGAACACCTATGATTGTAAAGTCATAGTCAGGCCCAGGAACCCAGACGTGATGGTCGGCAGTTAAAAAGGGGGAAGAGGATCAAAGTGTCAAATTTGAGCTATTTTACATTTAAAAATCGTGCTTAACTGCATTCAATGACTATATGAAATGTGTGTGAATATTTCAACATAAACTGCTATCAAAACACCTCAAGTTTACGTGCTGCTTATGTTCAAAAAACTTTTAAAGCAGCAAGTTTTAACATTTTAAACTTGTTTCAGCAGCACCATAATCATCCTCACTCAGAAACAATCAGATAATTCCAAGCATGATGCGCTAACTATGATAGGAATGTTCCATCAGGGCGACCGATCGCAACATTACAAATAATTACTTATTGATCAGTGTTTTACGGGTCTGAACCTTCATACTGATCCGTTTTATTTAAACAGTGTTTTCTACTTTTAATGCACGGTAAGTGTTTTCGTTGCACAGTAACTGGCCGACAACCTGACAGCTGCCTTCATGTCCACAGAGTCCCAGTGTTATAATAAAAGATGATGTATAGATTTTATCCTGAACATAGAATGAATCCACGTTGTCCACAGATCTATCCTGATATTGATGACAGATTGAGCGGAAAAATGGTCACGTCAAAGGTAGCTCTTGGGTAGTGATCTAATATCTAACTGAGATTTCGATGTTTCTAAAGACGTTAACTTCTTAAATCAATGCGTTATGTGGTTTGATATCGACTGTATGAACAAGAAAATCAAATGATTTGTCAGACGACGACCGCAGACTCAGCAGGAGGGGAGGAGTCTGAGAAAAAGACAGGGTTTGTTGAAGAAAGCCTGCCAGCAAACAGGTTAGGCTCACGGGGTAATGTACTATGGTAACTGCTGAATCAGTTGCCATAGTAACTGACCCAGACTTAAGGATAGACCGCTCTGAAATGAAAATCCCAGATTTTTTTTCTCCTTTTTCCTTAAGATTAGCATGCTTAGTTTTCACTTAACTCGGTCTCAGAACCACTTCCCAGGTAAAGTGGATTTACAGGTGTTGATGAGTGCTACCTAATAATAACTTCTTTAAAAAGCCCTATAGGCTAAAGTCTTTTGTGGCTCCACAGGAAAATATCAGAAACCTTATAAACTGCCTTATGTCAGTTGAGTCAGAGCCGGTTCTGGCTAAAGACAAGAAAAAAAACAAAAAAATGCAGTCCCTTAAACAGCCACTTGATGCTGGCTCCAAAAGTCAACCTCCACAGACCTCCACCTTAAAATGCTCAACTTTACAGCAGCAATAAACATGTTTACAGCCTGGTACTGAAAACTGTTTTGGTTTGTACAGCTAAATTCCCTGTTCGTGACAACTGTAAGTGTGGTGACGTTTTACAAAAATAACCTGTTTAATTTGCATGAAGGCTGAAAGTTATACATAAATGAGGGCGTGGCTGCATTGAGCAACAGGTGAGTGCCGTCATAGAACAGTCCAAGTCACAGAGATGTTTGCATTATGGCGGGTTGAGTGGGTGATACAGTAAGTAGAGGCAGCATTATCCCATGACTAGCAGAACACTAAGCACCACAATTTTTGACAAAAATGTTGGAAGCTGCATTGTGACGAATTAGCCACAACAAAAATGCAATACTGAAAGGTGGAAGGTTTTAGGTGGAAAATCATTTTTCGGCAATCACTAAAACCCTGTTTTGTGCCTTACTTGCCTAAAATGAGCTGTTGCCTTAACATCTTGCAGAGATGGAGATGCATTTACATAATGATATTCTCTTCTTTTCTTTTTTTTTTCTTTTTTTAATGTTCCCCAAAGGAAACCGCTGCCTGGTTTAAGTGGAAGCTAAGCTGAAGAATCAGGAGTTTGCAAATCAAGCAAGCCACAATGATGTTTGGCACTACCATTTACCATAGCAGTAAATCAAAGACAGATGTAGCCTCTGAGCCTGAAAAGTAAAGCCAACAGGGAAGTGCCTTCAATCTCCATTATTTCTGATAACCAGCAGGGGGCGATTCCTTTGGTTGCGCAAAAAAAATCTGATTGCACAAATGTCTATGAGACCATGGCCCTACTTGTCACTTGATCTGTTACCTCTGGAAAAGTTTTCGTCAAGAGTTTATGGTCTCAATTGTTAGTTTCAAGACTTTTTGAATGCAGCATGATGTGAACTTGGTAAATTATGGTCCCATTTAGCAGAAAATACACTACAAGGGTTTTTTTTTTTTCTTCCAGGGCGGGGCCACCTTGGGATTGACAGGTCGCTACCACATCGTAGTGTGTAGTGTCCTTACGTTTTCAGTCATATCCAGCCCCACTTGTAACTTACAGTTTATAAAAAACAAACAAGATACTCATGATCGAATTCCAAAACAGGATTCCATAAACCATTTGGTAACGTCACAGTATCTACGTCAGTCTTTTATACACAGTCTACCCCATTTCCTCAAGTCCGCTGTTTAAGTAAAACACATTAGCGCAGCTTTAGGTTGCCTCAATGCTAAGGCTACACAAAGTATTTTAACATGTAGTGTCCTCTAGTGGCTCAAATACCCAATATAATCCAGAAAAAATAATAAACACAAAAACTATCTCAGGCAATTTTTTTTTTTAGACTTCATTCCACAAGCTCTACACAGGCTGCAGTGTTTCTGAGGACCCTCATCCTCCATTTCCTAACTGAATTTTAGATTAGTGTTTCATTCCAGATTGGTCATCAACCACCAGCGTGTATCCAACACTACAATTTAGCTCCCCATCGCAGCCACCCTAATTATGGCTAATTACCAGCAGCCATCAAAACAAAAGCTGCTGTTCCTTTAAATCTTCACCCTTTTCAAAATTTTTGGAGCGAGGGAGGGAAATACAGAGAAAAAGGAGGCGAAAAAAAAACCACAGACACACACACATACAGACACGCAAAACGACACTCCCCTTGAACACAAGCAGCAACACACTGACAGACTGACCAGCGCCGTCCAGCCGCCTGAAGCAGAGAGCCTGCTGTGTGGATGTGTGCAGCCCTCTGGACTTGGTGGGAGGGGGAGAAGTTTCCCCAAAGACAAGCTTGGATCACTGAGAGAGACGATGCCTTCCTCCTCTAACCCAATCTCACAAGCTGCTCAGTGGATTTGCTGATTCCCGAAATTATTTGTGCAAGTTATTCAGCGGGAGTGGGGAGAGATTTTGAGCCAGAGGATGCTCCCACAGGTCATTCGGATTCTGTATGTCTTGTCTTTCTGCTTTTTCCAAGGAGGCTTTATCAGGTGAGGCGCACTGGCATTTATTATTCTCTCTCTGTGTTTGTGTGCGAGTTATTTTCTCTCTCATCAGCTGCTCGACATAAACTTTTCCACTGTTTAAGTCGACGTTTCTGTCTGTTCACGTCCCATTTTAATGACTTTATAACTTAATGTAGCTCCGTAGATGAACTTCCACTGTGCGTAAAGCGTCCGAACGCTGGCGCGAATATAAAATACGAGATCATTCTAAACTAATCGATCCTCCAAATCGTAAATCTCATTGCTATAAAATAAGATAGTGAGGAAAAACAGCCTTTCACAAAGCAGTACATACGAGCAAACGTTGGCACAATTACGCAAAAAAAATTACGCACAGCCTTTTACGCACAGAGCAAACAGATGTCACGAACTAGAAAAAAAAAAACAAAAACACAAAATCTGATTTCATGGTCGCCGTTTGTAAACTGCTAGCAAATGTATTCAGTAATAAACCAGCATGCAAATAATTAACCTTGAAAAAAAAGAAGACAATAGATACTAAACCCTGTCCTTAAGTGCCCCCCAGAAAAACAAAAACAAAAAAACAGAAAACCTGTCCTGGTCGCAAACTACCTGTGGAATTCCCGCTTGCATTGCAGTGTTGAGTTGTGGCTTTGTTAGCAGTTTAAATGAAAACAACAACGCTCCAGTGTATGATTTGATATTCATGGTGTGATTAACAATTTAACAACAACATGTGATCAAGGAGGTCACTGGGAAATAATCCATTCATTCTTTCTTATTGAGCCCTCAAAGAGGTAACCCAGATTAAACATCTGCATTCATTTATGTAAAAAACGTAGAAGAAATAGTGTGTGTTTGCAGAGCTGATTCAATATTGTAAAAAAAAGATTTTTTTCTAAAAAGGTGAAAGGACGAGTCAGTGTGTGTTCATAGTGCTTGGCGACAGAGAAAACCTCCCTTCCTCTTTTTCCTCAACCAAGCTCCCCTTCCTCCTCTCCATACCTCCTTGCCCTCTTCCTCCCTCTCTCCTCCTCTTGGTGGCAAAAACTTTTATTTGCATTGAACCCTTTCCTTATTTCATGCCCTGCCACCCTCAGGTGGCAGGTCGGGAATTAAGATCTGCATAATCCTGGAGCGGAACAGAGCCGTGACTCCGTGAACCCAGGGGCGAGGAGAGCAGCTCTTAGCCTGGAGAGCAGTCAACTGACAGCACCTCCTCTGAGAAATTATATGCTCTCCTACCAGCTTTTCTGCTCACCATGTAGGTAGGGATTGGGAGGGAGGGGAGGCGAGAAGGAAAAGGAAGGGATTAAGGAAGCAGGGCAGGTGTAAAAGGCAGGCAGAATCTCATGGAGGTGTGGACACGTTGGGGGGAATGATGGAAGGTGAAAATGGGAATGAAGCAACCTGGGATGGAGAGAAATGCGAACAAGAAATTGAGAGGGTGATTCATTTAGCTGCAGGCAGCGGGGAGATTAGTAAAGTGGAGAATGGTGCTGGTAGATGGAGAGGAATGGTTCAGATTGGAAAGAGGAGATGAGTTGGAAGAGGAGAGAGGATCGTGGATATGAGGGACAGGAAGTGTTGAAAGAGATGTGAATAAGATTGTCATGTAAAAATGGTGCTCAAGCTGGATGGATATGATACAGTTCGGACCGGATAGCTGCTGACGAGAGGAAATGAGAAATAGGAAAGAAGGGTGTAATAAATAACAAAGTTCATATCGTACTCTGAAAGGGTGACGGCTATAAGAGGTTTGGAGATGTGCATGTAAAAAAGAGAAAGTGTTGTGTCTTGCACTCCGTGTCTATTCAGGTTTGATACAGGAAAACCTGGATCTCTCTGGTTTCTATTCTGCCACCCAGTTCATTTGCTTTTCGATGTTTTTTCCCCAGGGAAAAATAAAACCCTAAATACATTTAAATTGCAAAGTTGGTGATTTATGTTAATTCCTCCGTTGAGTCACTGCAGTGTGCACAGATGTTGTTCAAACTAGCAGAAGTTGTCTATTTTGTTCACATTCTCCCTGTATACCATTTGTACTCGACATTTTGCATCTGATTGGTTGCATTGTGGCCTATGGTTTTTCTGGTTTATTCATTTGTTTTATATTGCATGTCGCTTTTCTCAGGTTATTTGTAAGGCCAACTAGTTTGAGGCCAGACTGGCATTTTTCAGTACGAGTGTAAAACTTGAAATTCAGTACCATACTTGTTTGACAAATCTTTAAACACTGAAAAATATTAACAGGGCAGCACCAAATGATTTTAGATTTAAATAATTAATTGTTTTTTGTAATAATCTGTGCATAAAATATACCAAGATACACAAAAATTTAACCCCAAAAAGATCAGAGACCATTAATTTGAGACGTTTTTGTTTAAAAAAGAAAGTGTTTCAAACCATTAACCGGTAAATCATCCAGTTATCTCAGAATGAACATTCCCATCTACCACAACATTAAATCCACCTGCCTAATAGAGTGTAGGTCCCCCTCATGCCGTCAAAACAGTTCTGACCTGTTGTGAAATGAATACAGGACCTCTAGGATAGTCCTGTGGCATCACGATGACAGCAGTGGATCCTTGCAGAGTTGTGCAGTGCAAGGTGGATTGGACTGGATGTTCGAATTTATTGTGCTCTGTTTGGAGGTCCTCTGCTCTTTGTCATGGTCCTCAAGCTGTTCCTGACCAGTTTCTGTGGTGTGGCAAATCGCATTGGCCAGTTGGGGGAGGCTGCTGCCATGTGGAGTGCCAATGCCATGGAGGGGTGTGCTTGCTCTGCAGCAATGTTTAGGTGGAAGGTACATGTCAGAGTAACACCACAACAAAGGCCAGGACACGTGGTTCCCCAGTAGAACATAGCTTTGTAATAGGATGATCAACATTATTCACTTTTCCTGTGTGTGGCTTTAATGTTCTGGCTGATTTTTCTACATTTCATTAAAAAATGAAATAAATCACATTGGATGTTTTCCTTTTCTAGTGAATAATAGATGTTTTTCTGAACTTCCGAACAATAGGAGGCAACAGCTTGTTGTACTGTGGGGGCACCTCAGTGTCATAAAAGTACCTGGATAACAGGAAGTAAACAGCTCTTGCAACCCAGATATGATTGAAAGATAAGGATAATCCACATGCTGTGTCATGTCATACTGTCTGTCCACTGCAACTCACCACAAGAAATCATCTGCTTCAGTTTGGTGTTTGTAAAGAACAAAGTCATCCACAGCGTCTAAAACTTTTGAGGTTTTAACTTTAATAGACGTTATCTCTCAGGATGTTTCTCACATCAGGAAAAGCACAGATGTAAATAGCAAACCGAATGATGGCTACATTCCATTTAGCTGCTTCAGTTTCAGAGTCCTGGTACTATTCATGCTGGCTTGCTGTCACTCTGTCAGGATTTACTGAGATACTTGACTAGAACAGCAACATCGTTCATTTTACTATGAACACCTGTTCTGTGGTTAAAGTTAAAATGTTGGCTGTGAAAAAGACCTTTTAGGCCCTGAACACATCAGCCAAACAAGAACTTTGGATGAAAAGAGAGAAAAAAAAAAGTGTTATTTTACAGAAAAATATACATATTTTAAAATGATGCTTCATTCTTTTACAACAGTTGGCCATACAATTACATTTTTACTGTATTGGAATCTGAGAAAAATAATTAGTACACAGATATTTTCTGTTTTTGGTACTGAAAAATCGTATAGAATTTTTTTAGGTGTTTTTTTTGTATAGATTTTCCCTGTTTTGTTAAATTCTTGTAAAACCTAGTAGATATTATCTTGTGAAAAGTAGATATAAAAGAATGAATAATAGTAAAAGAACAGATAATGGAAATTTTTTTTAAAAAAAACAGGCCAAAAGTGTTCATAATGTTCATGTCAAGAATGTATATTTTACCAAATAGTAATTTGTTCTTTTACAATGTATGACCGTAAACCTAAACTGTTTTACTGCATTTAAATTGGTTTAAAAAATATAATTATTTGATGAATAGTTGCCGTTATGTCACAGTCTTTACAGTACATACAAGTTACAGTGTTCCAGTTTTTTTTTATGCCTCGTTTTGTTTTTGGCACCCTTGCTAAGTTTTCATCTCTCTTTTCTTTCTTTTTTTTTTTTACAGATTTTTTTTACAGTGTAGTTCGATACCAGAATTATAATAGGAAACTCTTGCGACAATTGCACTATCATAATGTCAGCTCTGATTTGTAGTTTGCTCCCCCATCTGGTGTGTAATGTCATTATCTGACGGCGCTCAAGTCGTGCAACTTGCATTTGCTCACAGTTGGATGTTAACCAGAAAAGAAGTTGTGTGTTTCTTTACACAATATCAACCCAAACCACAACACGTGCAGACTTCAACAGAGTGTTAACATCACAACAGTGGACAAATTGTGCAAATGTGTCCATCAGCATTCCCTGGTCATCTGGCGTGTTTCTGTTCATTGGCAAATTGAGAGTGAGCTGAAGTGGATTGCATTGAAGTGAAGGGCAGAGAATCGCACCAAGGATCCCTGCTGTCCTTGCCTCCAGTCACTGAAAGATCATGAGTCAGAACTGAAAATATCAGAGAATAGGTCTTGTCATCAGATGGAGCTGGGAACTCATGAGCCTGATTATTGTTTGTGTGCATAGTGACAGTGAGAGGTAGTTGTGGGGGAGGCAGTGCGTCTCTCCCTCCTAAATGTAATGAGTTAATTGAATTAGATAATGCCTTTACTTGATTATAAACTTCAATTTCATATTTAGAAAATAGGTCAGTAGCAGCATCACCGAAATAAACAACTTCTATGGCTGGCATCTTTGGAGATGAATATTAGCAAAAACACTAACCCAGTTAGGGATATAACAAGGCAAGTTATTTTTTACTTTTAGACTCTTCACTGCACTGCTGACACATTCCGTTTCTCACATTTGGTTTTAAATGTGGAAAAGTTTTAATGTACTGTCAGTGGGCTTGCAGCAAAAACCCCAACCTAAAAGTGTGAACACTTCTAAAAAAACACTCCT